GGTGAACAGGCATGGCTAGTAGCAAGTACAGCTGAGAGCTCACATCTTGATCCACAAGCGGGAGGCAGGAAGAGCACACTGGGAATGTTGGGAGTTGCTTTGAAAGCTCAAAGCCTGCCCCCTCCAAAGCCACACCTCCTAATTCTTCCCAAACAGTTCCACCAACTGCAGGCCAGTTATTCAGACTCATGAGCCCATGGGGCTAATCTCATTCAATATACCACATACTAGAAAGGTGCTTCCTTCCTTCCTTCCTTCTTTCTTTTTAATTTTCTGCAGGTGGGAATTTTCCCCTGGAATTGTTTAAGCAGCTATCCTGGATCAAAATAATGATGATAATGATGGAAATGGTGACAATAATCTTATTTTACCTTAGAAATTCTGGGTATTACTTGGGGATGTAGTTGCATTTTACTTTCTAAAGTCATTAGTAGACAATATAGTATGATAAGATTGAAGAGTGTTTTAGGATCTGGGCCTATCACAGTGGTAGGGCACTTGTCCAGTCTGGGAAAGGTCCTGGGTTCAGTCCCCAGCACCGGGGAAAAAAGCAATCTTTAGATTGCTGTCCATGTAGGCTATGGAAAGACTATTATATGGTGGTGGCTCAGAACCCCTTAGTGATGGCATTGACGTGTCACGTTTCCAAGTCCTGTGACATGACTTTCCAAGTTCCAGACCAGTATTTGAAACATAAAGAAAATGGAATGTTTAAAGTGCAGGCTCTGCTGTCATTTGAAGCTTGAACATTATACAGAAAAACATACTATTTTTCCCCAATTGAAGCTAATAACTATTTCTTCTCTAATCACTAGTAGTATTTAAGTAAATTACCATTAGTTGCTGGAAGTTCAAACTCCTTGTCTATTATCTTTCTATATGAAAGCGTAGATGTGAATCCCAGGGAACAGGCTCATGTGTTCATACTGACACGGAAGTGGTTCACTCAGTGGAGTTGGCTTTTCTCCTTCACGCTTGCCTAGGAAGAAACGGGGACTTGGCCAGCCTGGAAGTAACAACCTGTGTTTTCTACCTCCCATTCCCAGGTCCAAGCAGCAGGGCTCTGATGTCACACCACCAAATGAGCTGACTTGTGACTTGGAATGTACACACCTTCCCTGCAGCTGCTGCTGATGCTTCACTTTGTGACAAGGTCTGACATTTTGGACAGTGTTCTCTGTCTTTGCTGTACACTGAGGACTAACCAGTGTTCTTTAGAAAACATTGGTAGCAGCAGGCATGGTAGCACACATGTATAATCCATCACTTGTAAAGGCTGAAGTAAAATGACAGAGGTCACCCTGAGGTGCGTATTATGACCTTTGTTCCAAAGCAATGACAACTGTAAATACTGATGCTGGCTGAGAGCATAGCTTAGTGGCAGGGAGAACATTTGTCCACCATATAGGAAGACTCACTACACATCATTAAAAAGCAAACAAAAAACAAAGATGAGGCTTGGTTCCCATCCCCATTCTAATGTATTTGGTATTGGCTGTGATTTGGTACTGGGGTTATAAAAAATATATATCAGGTCAGGTGATTTTATGTAAGACATTACCTAACAAAGATCAAAGGCAGCTGTGACCCTTTAACAACCTTAGTAACTTCTGCCTGTGTTGGGTGGAATTGCTTGTGGGATTCTCACACTAGTTCCTGGGGCTTGGGGTGCTTCAGCGAATCCTCTTGGAGTTTGGAACTTGTCAGCCCTTTGTCAGGCATAAACTGGCTCCTGGACATCTTTTTATGTGTTTTTTCTTCCATCTGTCATCTATGCCTATTTATTCTTTGATGTCCTTTTAGAATCTCCCGCTGTAGAGTGGGATCAGGTGCCCCAGCCCCTCAAACCTTTATTAGTCTCAAGATAACCCCTTTCTTTTTATTTTACATTTCTCTTAGCTGTACAAAGCAATGGGTTTCATTGACATTTGCATTCATGGATAGCTCGTCCTTTTATCATGTCCACTGCATCTGTCACCGTCTTTGTCCTCCCTTTTTCTATTATACTCCAAAGTGTTCCTCCATTCCTTTCATTTCATTCTTTTAAGTTAGCCGACACCTAGGAGAGAAAACACGACACTTTGTGAGACTGGTCTGTTCCATTTATTGACGATATTCAGTTCTGTTCATTTTCCTGCAAGTAAGTTTGCTTTTCATTATGGCTGAATAAAACCTCTACTGTGCGTATGTATATATCACATTGGCAAAACCCTTTCATAATAAATGTCTCATCACCATGAGAAATCGTGAAGCAGACACTACCAAACTGCAGAACATAGATTCCTTGTCATGTTTATGTCTGTCCAAGACCCTGACTTCCTGCAGAGGTGGGCATTTTGTGAAGTAGGCATTTTATTTTATGGAAGGCTGAGTGAGTATTGTTAAGAGAAGGAGAAACTCGTGGTTAAGGAAAGGGAATCTGGCCTGCATGGAGACCTAACATTCCAGCGGGCATGGTCAAACCCTTGACCCCAGTAAGTCACGCTAAAGAAATAGGTGTAATAATTGGTCCTTTGGTGTGACACCACCTTTCCTTCCCGATCCCACCCATAGAGCAGGAGCTTACCAGGCCACTGTGGTAGCTTCACGAGCCTGCTGGCTGTTCCCAGTTTGTCAGTAGAGTATTGCTTTTCAGTTCTGTTTTCTAAGCATGCGCTTCTTAAGGCCTTTGACTTTCCGGATAGCTTGTGCTTCCCTTCGCTCTTTAAACTCCCCTCCAATCATGTTGCTGCTTGCCAGTTACGCGTCTCGCTTCCATGCCAGCTTAAACGTAATCTGTTGAGATTTACTGTTTGCTTGCCCCAGGAATTATCTGGTTAAGACTAGTAAAAATTTCCTTGGGCTGTCCTTTGGGGTGAATCCTTAAGATATTTTTATTAGTAAGATTAAGAACCCTGCTGGGTGGTGGTGGTGCCTTCAATCCCAACACTGAAGAGGCAGAAGCAGGCAGATCTTTGTGAGTTCAAGGCCAGCCTGGTCTATAGGCTAGTTCCAGGACAGCCAGGAGTACACAGTGACAAAAAAAAAAAAAAATCCTAAGAGGAGATCTGGATTCCCCCGTGTCAGTATTGAGCAGACACACTCTGTACACCCATGTTGGGATGCTCCTGCCTCTATGAAGATCTCTTTTCTGACTGATGGTGTGGTCATATCTTATTGGTTACGGAGTCCAGTGTCTTACACTGCATGATTATTTCATTTGGGATTGAATTTTTTCTTTAATTGAGCAACAGTAAAACATTTCCAAATGTATAGCAGCCAGGAGTGAATTCAAAACCAAATGTGCAGGGAGCCCAAGCTGTCTGTGGCAGCAGGGTTCGTCCGTGTTGCACGCGTAGCCTTGGTCCTGAGCGCACAGCATGCCACTCCGCACTGTGCGTGCGCTCATGCTGTTTTAAACACATTACTCATAGTCAAGACTGTGCATGTTATAAACTGCAGTGTTTCCCCTGTACACGAAGCTTTTCTGCCCTCATGGCTCACTTTCGGAAAAGTACATATACCTGCCGAGTAGTGTACCTTTGGATATGCTTTCCCTCCCCGTCCTTCCTCTTTCTTAGCTGCGTTTCAATCTTTACCTGCTGAAAACACTTAGCTTGGCTGTGTTCTCAGTTCTCTCATTTTCCTGGAGGTGCAGTCTTGCCCACTGTTGAAGCAACTGACCAGTTCAGGAGAGTCCAAGTGTCCTTTTTCATGGGGCGCTAAGACACATAGTACAATCTGTCGCTTGTATCTGAAGACACAGAAGAGGCAGTGCACATTGCTATAAACGTGAGGCAGAGGGATCTGTGTGAATTTGAGGCCAGCCTAATGTACGTAGTAAGGTCCAGGCCATCCAGGGCTACATAATGAGAGATTGTCTCAAGGAAAGGAAAAAATGGAAAGCACCTATGCTAGAAAGCAAATTTCTAGGGTAGAACTATAGAGTATCCCTCATACCTAACTCAGTATGTGTGGAATGGAAGCTGTTTGTTGTTCCATGGCTTGTTTGGTTTTGTTTTTGTCTTGCTGTGTAGCTGGGACTGACTTTCCACTCCCGTGCATGCAGCCTAGGCTGTCCTGGAGCTTGCCATGCTCCGTCTTTTCCTCCTTGTGCTGGAATTGCAGGTGTGCCTCTGCATCTGGCTGCTTACCTTTACATTGTTATACAGTGTTCACCTTTAGTCATGTTCTCAAAGTAGGTTATATTTAGTTTTGTCATTTCATAGTAAGTGGATTAAAGTTGAATTCATTTGTTCTCATTGCTGAAATTAAAGCGTTCTGAAAGATTGTTTTTAGTAAGCTATGAAACGGTCATGGGAAATGAACTATAGATTTTTACTTTGATTATTTTCTTTTTCCTTTCTGGGTGATAAAAACAGACCTTTCTTCCCTGGGTACTTTGGTGGTGTACAAATTTATTTTTAAATTTTAGGTCTTCCCAACTTTCATGATTGGTTTTAATAACCTTTCGCTTGATTAGTTTCCATGTTATATTGGATGCTTCATAGGGTTAATGCATTCTCATTATTAATACCTTCTAGTGACACATCCAAATGTTGGCACATATTTTATTGTGGAAATTCTTGTTAGGTATGCATTTTGATTTTCTGTATTTGCTTTTCATCATTTCTAACTTTTATTTTGACATTCCTGCTTTTGTTTACTTTAGGAATCACCTTTGTATTTGCGTTGGTGGACATGTTTGAAAAGACAGACCTTGGAAATCTTGTATTGTCTGTGAACCTTATCTATCAATGACTTCAGTGACAGATGAGAAGTCATTCAAAACTTTACGACTCAGCACAGTTTTCAGATATTCGCAACAAATTTATATTTATTTCTAGTTTAATTTTGGAAAACGTGTGTAAATGGCACTGATAGGTGATCAGGAAGCTTGTTGTGTGCCAGAGAAAGTTGTCAGGGAAGATGGCATAGTAACAAATCAGAACTCTAGAACTTTCATTGTTTATCCTGATACCGATACAGGTGACAGTGACCCCTTTGTTCTTCGTTTACAGTCATGTCAAAGCCGAGGCCGCCGTGCTGAAGATGGACACACAGCACTAGAGAGCTCTTCTGCTTTCCTATCAAAAGCTTTGGTTATCTGGTGTTTTGTTACCAGTTATTGCATCTCAATCAAGTCTGTTTGCTTCATCAGACATGATTTTCACAATCTCAAGGAAAAATATGTCCCAGAAACTGAGTTTCCTGTTGCTGGTATTCGGACTCATCTGGGGGCTGATGTTACTTCACTATACTTTTCAACAGCCAAGACACCAGAGCAGCGTCAAGTTACGGGAGCAAATCCTAGATTTAAGCAAAAGGTACGTGAAAGCCCTGGCAGAGGAGAGCAAGAGCATGGTGGATGTGGACAGTGGAGCATCCATGGCGGGCTACGGTAAGAACCATGGCATGTCTTTGTCTTTTCCTTTTTAGCTCATCCCTGTGTAAACATAGACAGTTCCAGGAATGAGCTCAGCATCCATGTGTGCTTTTTATAAACTGAGTTCTTAAAAACTACATGTGTATGTTTTCAAATGTAAAGTAGGAATATATTACTCATATAGTCCTCACCCAGATTTGTTATTAATATTTCACATTCATTATATTTTAATTACATAAAAGAAATTGTGACATTTCACTACTATAGTCATTTCTTTAAAATGTACATATAAAGTATATTATGTGCATTTAAAAATGAGTATGTAATACAGTGTAATGGTTTTACACATACATACACATCCTTGATTTTTCTTTTTGATTTCTCAGTATAAAACATCAAATGGACAATATCTATTAAGTTCCAAGAAACAGGATTTCTTATAGTTCTAGCATTGCTTATGGCAAATCTCCCTTTCAAATCCTAGGTTCCTGTTGTTTTAAGGGTTTTTGTTTTTGTTGTTTTTTTAAACAGAATCTCTTTTTGTCCTGGAACTCACTATGTAGATCAAGCTGTCCTTGAACTCAGAAATCCACCTGCCTCTGCCTCTCGACTGCTGGTATTAAAGGTGTGCGCCACCACAACTGGCTTATTTTAAGTTTTCTTTTTCTCCACTGAGCCAGGGTTTCTCTGTGTAGCGCCACTGTCCTGGAACTTGCTCTGTTGACCAGGCTGGCCTGGAATTCACAAATATCCTCCTGTCTCTGCCTCTGCTGGGATTAAAGGTGTGTTCTACCATAGCCCAGCTTGTTTTGATTTCTTTGTGTGTGCCTTCTCTTTTTCTTCTGTTTAGGTGAGATGGGGAGCTAGGAATTGCCAGAAGACTGAGACAGGGCGAGCCATGAGTCTGAGTGAAGCCTGTTCTGTCAGTGCTGGGAATCAAACCCAGGGCCCTCACATAATGAGTTTCAGGATATCTAGGGCTACATAGTGAGACGTGTTGAACAAAACAAAACATAGTCACCCCCCACCCCCAACAAAACCGGAAGCCATAATATATTTGCAAAGGTCTTGTATGTAAGTCTGACTTAACATTATGAGACAAGGAACCTCCAAAGACGCTGTTGAGTTTGTTTTCTGTTGGTCATCTACTGGTGGGCATGGGACCTACCCTTAAGAGTAGTTTGCTTGGGAGACAGAGGCAGGCAGATCTCTGTGAGTTCAAGGCTACTCTGGTCTACAAAGTGAGTTCCAGGACAGCTAGAGCTACACAGAGAAACCCTGTCTAGACAAGCCAAAAAGAAAAGAAAAGAGGGTGGGGGACCTGAAACAAAAAAAAGAAAAGAAAGGAAAAACAAACAAAACGTAGTTGCTTCCCCAGTGAGACGCCTTTGGAGGAAAGTTTTCAAGTGGCTGTCAGAGATAGCAAGGGCATGTGTGTACTAGGGTCCCGTCTGGTACAGACCCTTGGGCCCTGCGTGTGCTGCCTCAGTGTCTGTGAGTTCACATGTGCATTGGTCTTGTTGTGTTGAGGTTTTGATTCCTTGGTGGCTCCCATCCCCTCTGGTCCTCACACTCTGCCTCCTCTTTGGCATGGCTCCTTGAGCCGTGATGGGAGGGCTTTGATGGTAACAAACTGTTTAGGGCTCGGTGTCCTGAGGGATGGAGTCCATAACTGCTAGGAAGGCATGGCAACCGGCAGGGAAGGCTTTCCGGAAGGAGCAGGAAATTAGCTATCACAATTTCGCCAACCTACAGGAAATGGGGAGGTGTGGGTCCAACTCGGGTGACATAGTTCCTCCTCCGCAAGGCTCTGCCTCCTAAGGGTTCTGTCACCTTCCTAAGGAGACACCACCTTGGGACACCAGTCATTCAACACAGGAACGTTTGAGTAACATTTGTCATGCAAGCACAACATTGCCTCGTCCTCACACTCTTTTCAGAACTCACATCACTCCAGTTTAGAAGCTATTGAGCAGGACCTTTTTAAGTATCCTTGAATGGACTGGAATACTGTAAATTTTTATTTTTGCTCATCCCTTGGTAACCTCTAGCTTATTTTCTGTCTGTGTGAATTTGCCTGTTTTAGATATTTCATGAAAGTAGAATCAAGATATTTGACCTTTTACCTATGGCTTATTTTCCTTGGCATAATATTCCCAGGGTTACAGTATTTTTTATAGCTTGAATCAGGGCATCATCCCTTTTTTACGGCTGAATCATGTTCCACTGTGTGCATATAACACATTTTGTTTCTCCATTCGTCTACTGGTAGGTATTTAATTTGTTTCCACATTTTAGTCTTTTGTGGGTAAAGCTGCAGCAAACATTGGTATTTAATATTTCTTTGATTCCTTTAACTTTCCGGTGTGTTATTCCTAGGAGTGAAATTCTTGTGTTATATTTACCTATTTTGAAAAATGGCCAAATTCTTTTTCCTTAGCTGTTATACCATTTTATATTCCTTCTGGGAATGTATGAAGTTTTCAGTCCTCCTCCATCTTTGCAAATACCCACCTGCCTTGGTTATGGCTGTCCTGCAGGTGCCAGCTGGAAACTTGTGATTTAGTGTGCATTTCCCTGATGGGCAGTGGTGTTGGGCATTTCCTCCTATGCTTGTTAGTCATTCCAATATATTTTTTTGGAGAAATGTCTGTCCAAGTCCTTTGCTCATTTTTTTAAGGTTTATTTTTTTTAAATGAGCTTGAGTGTTTTACCTGCATGTATATCTGTGTACCATGTGCATACCTAGTGCCCACAGAGAGTATCAGTTATGATGGTTATGAGCCATTATGTGGGTGTTGGGAACTGAGCCTGGATCCTATGCAACATCAGCCAATGCCCTTAGTCATTGAGCCATCTCTCCAGCCTCTCCTTTGCTCATTTAAAAAAAAATATACTTTGCATGTATTTACTGTCTCAGTGTGGTAAATGGAGCTCCTTGGTAGAGGTGCTGGAGCAGTAACAGGTCTCAGTCAAGGTCCCCAGGGATTGCTCTCTGATACCCTCACGTACTCCTTACTCATGAATAGAGTGGAGGTGCACAGGCATCTGGATCCTTGCCTGCTAATGAGTCCCAAACATACTCTGTCCACCTTTGATGTGTGCTCCTATCAGCATGTCCTAGGGGCCTCTGGATGTGGCCCCTTGGCACAATTATTATTTTCCATCTTTTTATTAAGAATTTCCCAGGTCCTCCTCTACCTCCCTCCCCACCAACTTCATGCTTTCATTTTCCCTCTTTCAGATAAAAAACCAAAACAAAACAAAACAAATGCCCACAGAAACAAAAGCAAGAACCTCCTCGCAAAAAAAAAAAAAAAAAAAAAAAAAAAAGAAAGAAAGAAAGAAAGAAAGAAAGAAAGAAAGCTCTCTGCTTCCTGAGTGTAGGTTCAATGTGACCACACACACAGCCTGTGGCTCTGGCCCCCACCAGGATGGGCTGTGTCCCTCTGGAACTGTGGGTCAGAAGAAGACTTCCCGTGACATCACATTTGTTCAGGCATTTGTCACAGCAGTAGAAAAGAAATGAAGATCTACTTCTTGTCCAGGACAGGTTAGCTTTCAAGTCCCCTGGATGAGGCAGGGATGTTGGGGATTTTGTGCTTCTTGGAGGAGGTGTCTTGGGTAGCCACCGGGGTCCTCTGGGGCCTCTGGCTGCTGGCTCTCTTCTGTCTTACTAAAGCTGCACCGAGCTGCAGCAAAAGAGCAACAGTGATTGCATTTGAACTAGTTGTCTCAGTGCGGCTTACAGTTGGATAGCCTTGGGCCATCACACGCCCCATGTTCAAAAGGTGGCATTGTAAATTCTCTACTAAAGTGACAAAGAGGAAAAAAAAACCACACAAAAATGAACATCAAAATAAGACAAAAACATCAATAAGACATAAAAAAATATAGTCAAACAAAGGGTCTACAAAGATACAATTGAGTTGGTTTTCTGTTGATCTATACTCTTTATGGGGCCTGCCCCAGAGTATGGTTGATAGATAGACCCAGGGGCATGCCATTGGAGAAACCCGAGTTTTTCTTTGCTTGGCACAGTTATCCCCATTCCCACATTCTGATTAGAAATAAGAATCTTTGCCTGTAGTAGATCTTCTTGAGATACTGTAACACAAAAAAAATAAATGACCCAGAGGCAGATATTGGGGTTCAAGCTTCAAGCTGAAGATCAGAGAAACAAAGCAGCCAAGCCAGTAGATCTTACCTATACTGAGCTGAAATGACAATCCTGTCTCCAGGAATCCTCAGAGGCAAAAGCTCTCAGTTCCTGTCTCCTCCTCCTCTGCCCAGCTATATCACTGCTGTCAAAGGTGTGTGATCTCAAGTGCTGGGATCAAAGGATCAAAGGCGTGAGCTCTGTTACTCTTCACTCTAGTGTAGGTCAGGGTGGCCTTGAACTCAGAGAGATCCATTTGCCTGTCTCCTGAGTCCTGGATGTGTGTGTTCCACTGCTGGTTAGATTCTATGGCTAACTAGTGTGGCTGATCTTACAAACTGATCTCTAGTGGCTTTATTAGATCATAAATAATATATCACTACAAGATACATAATTGGCAGTGATGGCCTCCCATTCTGTAGACTGTCGTCTTGCTATCCTTTTTACTTTACTTTTGGTTTATTTAAATTTTTGAAGGGGGATGGTGTGTGCTACAGCAGGCACATATGTAGGTCAGAGGGCAGCTCCATGGAGCCACTTCACTGTCTGCACCTTTGTGTATGTTCCAGGGATCAAACTCAGGTTGTTAAGGTAGCAACTGCCTTAACCTGCTGAGCTGTCTTGCTGACCCTGCATCTTCCGGTGTTCCGGAGGTTTTAGTTTTTATGAAATCCAGCTTACTCTTTTCTTTTTCCTTTTATGTCTCATACTATTTCCAATAGTAGTGTAGCTACAAGCAGCTTTATCAGCTGGTGTTAGATGTTTTTCCCTGGTGAGCAGAGACTAGGTGTTGAGCTGCCTTTTTGGTCCAGGATCAACAAAAAATAATATCAATTGTCACTATTGACTACCCAATATCTGTGAAATGCCAGTAAAAAAAAAAAAAAAAAACCTGAAGGGACAATTTCCAAAAAGAATAATCCATTTTGTTTCTTTTTCTAGCTAGAAAAAGTCTACTGAAGCCCCTTAACCTGCCACAGAGGTTAAGAATTAGAGTAACTGTCATTTTTTTCTGGAAGAAATTCAAGACCAAGCTGCCCCAGCTAGGTCTCCTGAGTGTGCAGTGTCAGCAGTAGACACAGTTTGTCTTTCCGCAAGGTCAGAATTATTGCACTGACAGTAAATTCTCAAGCTTTGTTGGTTTCATTGACTGCAGTTTTCCAGATGGCTCTAAGTGCCCTGACAGCGAGGACATGAGATGAGATATTTTATTCCAATCTTAATTGTGTGTCACTGTGGTTGGTGTGTGTGTGTGTGTGTGTGTGTGTGTGTGTGTGAGAGAGAGAGAGAGAGAGAGAGAGAGAGAGAGAGAGAGAGAGAGAGAGGCAGAGACAGGATAGCTACAGAGGGTTGCTAACATAGAGTTCAGAGAGGCCTCATTAAGGCTGGGGTGAGAGCTAATAGAAAGCAGTCCCTGAAAGTTAGACAGATTCTGAGCACCTCAGTGGGAGGAACTGTGGAGAAACCTGCTAAGGAAGAGCTGGAGGAGCTGAGCGCCTGAGGCTGGGTCCATAGGACTGGACCGTCTAGTCAAGGTGGATGGATCCTGCAGGATGGAACAGGACAGCAGTTTGATTAGGTCTCATCAAGCAGTTGGGGGACCTTGCTGACGTAAATTGCTGGGAGCAGTTTGGAGTTCTTTGTCTTGTCTTGATGCATGTGTGGGATGGTTGGAGGACACAGGTGGGGCCATCATCATTATCTCAATGTTAGGTGTCTTTTTTAATAGTTTTAATCTTATGAGCAGTGATTAGTATTTTGCCTGCATGCATGTCTGTGTGAGGGTGTTGGATCTTCTGGAACTGAAGTTACAGACAGTTGTGAGCTGCCATGTGGGTGCTGGGAATTGAACCTTGGTCCTCTGGAAGAGCAGCCAGTGCTCATAACTGCTGAGTCATCTCTCCAGCCCCCTGATATCTCTCTTTTTATGGCATCCAGGTGAGGGTGTTGCATCCTTTTTTTGGGTCTGGTGTGTATGTTTTTGCTCATATGGAGAAGTTGATAGTCAATGCCTTGTGGTTAGTGCTGGCCCTGAGGTAGTATCTGCACACAAAGAAGATGCAGAGCCAAAAGCCTCTGCATTTGTCCACACAGAGTCAAGGGCTGCTTGGTAACCTGGAGCCACTCAGGCCAAGTCTGACAGTCACTGTTTCAAACTCTAGAATAACTTGGTGCATAGCAGTCCTCAGGTCAGGCCACCCTGTGCCCTGGCTCCCCACTCCTGCTCCAGTCTGGAGGGTTCAGGTGTTATGCTTGCGTTTGGTTGAATTGCTTACATGGCTCTCTTTACCAGTACTTGACCTGCTGGTCCAAGCCTTCTGTATCCACTGCTCAAAAAACTCAGCATAGTGTGTCAAGAGATGGCTTAGCTGGTGAGAGCCCACCTTACAGAGGACTGATGCTTTGAGCCTGGCTTGAAATCTGATGCGCTGCTCTCAGAAGGGAGAGTCCTGGTGTGTTGTAGCTCTCTTGCATTGGGCGTGGTGCTAGTGATCCAGCTTTCCCTGTCTGGGGTCTGAGAGCATTCTCTGTAGCATATTTTCTTTCAGATGTCCTGATAATTGTTTACCTCTTTCCCTTAAGCTGTAAAGACACAAATACTAAGTGCTGTATTGCTATTTAATATGATTTATTCCAATTTTCCCCCTTAGCGGATCTGAAGAGAACGATCGCGGTCCTCTTAGATGACATTTTGCAACGCTTGGTGAAGCTGGAGAACAAGGTCGATTATATTGTTGTGAATGGTTCAGCAACCAATACGACCAATGGCACCAGTGGGAACTTGGTGCCTGTAACCACCAACAGAAGGACGAGTGCACCCGGCAGTGTCAGATAGCAGTGCAGGCCACCTTGCAGGGCTACACCACTGTGGAACGCATCTATCCAGGACACCTCTTAAACTGCTGCCTAGGACAGAGTACTACTTGACAATAAAAGCTCTCCACATTTCCAAGGAGCTTGCTGGGTTCATAGGATGCTAATTCTGTAAATAAACCTGCAGGCATTATTAGTTTGCTTTCACACGAAGCTCCTCAGTGCTGTTCTGTATACTTAATGGGAGTTTGGTAACACATGAGGTGGTAAGCAGGGAGGTCATCTCTGTATACATCTTTAGTATTTGAGATCAAGAAGAAACAAAAACACTAGAAAGACATGGAGTCCTTTCTATAAAATATTTATTTAAGTGTATAACATGTTTTTCAGATAAGCGGATGATAACGTTACTGAATCATTCTGTCATCTGTCCTCATCATGTCCCTGTGAGTAGAAAACATGCTTAGTTCCAGTACTATATTTTGTTACTCAGATTATGAGCAGGAAAAGGAAGTGTCATGTTGAAAATCATGTTTTGAAATAGACCCAAAGAATGTTTTCATTTGCACTATCCTTCAAAATAACTGAAGGCTAATTGTATATTTTTAAAAATAGCATTTGTAAGAGTATAATTTTGAAATGGGTAGCAGCCACTGTCCATAGCCTAACCATTGGGGACTATTTAATAGAAATGAGAGTAATCTCTAATCTCATACTTAAAAATTTCTTACATATATTCTGCATATAGTACATATTTTTATGATGAAATGACAAGTAAGATGCATGATTTTTCACAATTACAATTGTTGATTTGAAAGTAAATCCCAATGTCACATGCTTGTAGCCATGAATACTCAGGAGGCCAAGGCAGGGCAACGCAATTCACTGCCAGCCTGGGCAACAGAGCAGAGCCTATCTAAGAAAAAGGGGAAGGAAAACATTTAGCCCATTGACTGTTTCTGCTATTATGAAAGTACATTATTTCCTTATTTTGGTAAACGTTGCTTTGGTTACACTGGTTGGGGAGGAAGGGACTTGAGGACGTTAGCCAGATGTACATAATAAATGTATTTGTTCTGCACAAAACTGCTTGGAAAATATTAATGTTAGTTGGTGTCACATAAGAGTATCAGGTGTTAGGAGATGTCAGAGTTGCTACTCATTTTATATAAATGACCACTTTACCGAATTAAGAACATTAAAATATAAATTATGAAAATGATTATCTTTTTAGGGAAACAGCTTTTTAGGGATACAGCACAAGAAATCTTAACTTGGTTAATTCCAGTATAGAACAAAACAGGTCTTTATTTAAATATATTTTGTAGCAAATCCAATTGCTATATAGTATTCTATATTTCGTAGTATTTATTCTATATAATGATTGCTGAAGTGCAGCTAGCCTCTAGATTTAGACTAAATTGAACTTAGTTTTCGATATTGTTCATTATTATAATATGCTACCACAAACAGTAGCAGTGATTAAATATTTTGTTAAGATAAGTATATGAACATATTGTTTCATGAAAGATAGCTTTCTGAAATGTCTTCCCTGTACCTTTATGTGAAGAAATTGTGTTCCATTGCCAGGTGAAGTCTGAAGCACTTGTTCAGTCTCAGAGGAGTTGTGAACATTTCTGGTTTTTGTCATTGTTTTCAGGGATGAAATAAAATATATTGTTTGTATTTACAATTGTTCCATGTGTTTTTTAAATAGCAGCCATGCATTTAGTAAATGGTAAATGACTTGGTCTTTTTTTAAAATGTTGGGGATGGAATCCAGAGCTTTGCACATGCAAAGTAGTTCTCTACACTGAGTTTCATTCACAGCCCTTAATGTTAATGACTAGAGATAATCTTCACATAAGTTTGGGTATTATTTCAACTTCAAATAACTTTTACAAAAAATTATAAAACAAGAAGAAAACCCAAGGGACTAGAGATGTGGCTAGTTGGTAGTGTGATTACCTAGTATGCTTGAAGTCCTGGTTCTATCTCCATAAACCAATGTGATGGTGCATGCCTGTAATCCCAACCATGAGTGAATGGCTCTGTTTTGTTTTTTGAGACAGGGTTTCTCTGTAGCTTAGGAGCTTGTCCTAGAACTTTCTCTGTAGACTAGGATAGCCTTGAACTCACAGAGATAAGCCTGCACCATCACCATGAATGATTGTCAGCATTGGTTAGGTGATAAAAAGGGTTATAAGTTTATGGGGATATCTCACTCACTACCACGATTGTCCGTTTGACTGGCTTAAAATTAGTAAAGAAACATACATCTGTGTCTATGAGATTGCTTCCAGAGAAGTTTGAGGGAGTAAGAACAACTCTGAACGTGTGGTTCCAGTTCACGGCCTGGGCAGCCTTAGACCAGATAAAAAGGAGAAATGAGCATTCCTATCTCTCTACTTCCTGACTGCAGACACCATGTGACCAGCTGCCTCCTGCTCCTACTGCCATGATGGACTGCACTCTGAGTGGAAAGAAACAGTCCTTTACCAGACATAAAGCAAAAGATACCCAGCCCACAATCCACAACCCCAGAGAAGCTAGAACCCTCTTCCAGAAACAGATTGAAGCAGATGCAGAAATTCACAACTAACCAAAGGGCCAAGCTCCTAGAGTACAATCAGGGAGGGGCAGAGATAAGAACAAAGGAGTCAAGACCATGATGGGGAAACCCACAGAATCAGCTGACCCGAGCTAGTGAGAGATCACTGACAAATGGGGAACCTGCATAAGACCGAACTAGACTCCCCGGATCTAGGAGACAATGGTGTGACTGGGACAGTATATGAGGTCACTGACAGTGGGTCCAAGACCTAACTCTAAGGCACAAACTGACTTAGTGGACACAGGGGTGTGGGGGTAGAGAGGTACCATGCTCCTGGCTCAACGAGATGATGGGACAGACTTAGTAGACTTCCTAGGGGAGGTCTTACCCTCTTCAAGGAGCAGATGGGAGGTGGGGGGAAGTGAGGGAAAAGCAGGTGGAGAGGAGGGAGGGGACACTGAGATTGGAATGTAAAAAAGAATAATAAAAATACACACAAAAACCTGTGCTTCCTTAAGATTCGTTTGTCAGCTGTTTTGTCTCAGTAATAGGAAAGGTAACTAATGTGTCTGGTTTTGCAACATTAGGACTTCTCTGGGTAGGTCTTTCCTCGTGGGCTCTTGGTATTGTTAGCTGAGCTGGTGACATCCAGGGAGCACCAGAAACACGCAGCAGCGACAATGGAGCAGCTGGCACACTCTGGTTGATAACCGCGGAGACGGAGCAACAAGGCTTGTGGTCAGCAGCTATGGCAACAGCCGGCAGCTGAACAATCCAGACAGTGGGGAGGGCAGGAATGGGGGCCCGGGAGAGGTCAAGAAAACACGGAGAACTGAGACAGAAGTAAGACAGGATGAAGGGTTACTCTACTTAATCAAAAAATCGGGAGCCAGATATTGGGGGGAAAACTTGAAAGTTCGGAGAACAGGGAGCAGCTGCCAGTTGCTTCCTAGGCTTCTTCCTGCAACCAAAAACCCAGATCCTGTCTGTCTCCACCCCATTTTAGCAGACCCTGTCTCCACCTCCCGAGTGCTGGGATTAAAGATGTGAGCCACAAGTGCTGCCTCGATTCTATAGCTAACTAGAGGCGAGCTCCGCCCTCCGGGATCCAGGAAGCTTTATTTGTCAGAACACAAAGTATGTCATTGGGAAGCTGTGAAGAGCCAGAGAAGAGATCCTGCAGGCTTTGCTTGCTGACAGAATTCCAGAGAGAGGGCTGTCAAGCCTCTGGGGCCAAGGCTCTCAGACTTCTTCACCCAAGAATTATAATGTTGGCTACCGCCACTGGAGTGCTGACACTTTGGAGAGCTAAGAGTTCCACAATCCTAGGCTGACATAGTTACCTAGGTTACACTGGCTGCCTAGGAGAGTGCTGCCTGTAGCGGCCTGTAGCTGCTGCCTGCTCCCTACTGCGGGGATGCAAAGCTTCTAGAGACTGGCACTGAGTGAGCTGCTTGGAGAGTGCTGCCTGTTGCGGCCTGTAGCTGCTGCCTGCTCCCTACTGCGGGGATGCAAAGCTGCTAGAGACTGGCACTGAGTGAGCTGCTTGCCCACCATGACTTTTCTCTGGAGCAAAAGGACCCCAGCCAGGCAATCAGTAGCATCATGAGCAGAGACTAGATGAGTAAGGGAGAAGATGGGGTATTTATACAGTGCCGAATCCATACTGAGTTAGCAAGTGAGGAGGGTTATGCTTGTATTACTGAGAAGGAGTTTGTAATTTTATAGATTTATGAGTCATTTTGTTTTTATTTGGGTTGGGTGTGTAGGGGTGGCTAGAGATTGAATCCAGGGCCTCATACATGCTAAGTACATGCAATTTTATAACTTTTGGTTCAAATAATGTAATAGTAGTATGTAGTATGCACTTAAAGGCACTAAGCTGTGAAGATTTTAAAAATTGTATTGCTTTTAAAACTTGGCCAGTAGTACCAGCATCTCTCAAGTATCTCTTTAGAAGGAGTTTAGGACCTCACTAAGTCCTTGGTAGGTCAATGGTCTTCACATTCCTTTTGTACTTAGGTTAACAACATCTTTAAAAATCACTCTATAGGGGGCTGAAGAGATGGATTAGCAGTTAAGAGCACCAGCTGATTTTCTAGAAGACCTGGGGTGGAGTCCCAGCACCATATGGCAGTCCAGTTCCAGGAGATCCAATGCCCTCTTCTGGCCACTGTGGGCACTTCACATGCATGCACACCCACCCGCAAAAATAATATATTAAAAAAATCTATTTTTTATTCTTTTTGGTACTTAATTTATCTGTTTTTTTTCTTTTCTGTCTTTGTTTTTCTATTGCTGTAATAAAACACTGACTAAAACCAACTTGGGGAGAAAAGGGTTTATTTGGCATACAGTTCTCATTACAAGCCATCACTGAGGGCTGGAGTGTTGGCTTAGTGGTTAAGAGCATTTGTTGTTCTTGCAAAGGACCTAGGTTTGATTCCTAGCAACCACAGGGAGGCTCATCATTTCCTTGGGAACCAGGTACATATGTGATGTGCAGGCAGGCAAAAAACACTCATACACACAAAATAAATCTTGAAAAACAAAAACAATCCATCATTGAGGGAAGTCAGGGCAGG